TTATTTATGGAGAAGGTGAAAATATGAGCCCCCACTTTTACTTCCACGTTAAAAAATGAACTAAATGCTTTTTTTTTCTAAAACTAATATGATACCTTCTTCTAAACATTTGTGTAAATACTTATAAAAAATACGAACTTTATTAACAGTCCAGAAAATTTGAGAAATGAAAAGATTGTATATTGCAGCAATCAATAATTCAAAAGAAATCATGTTTGAAAGCGTTTCTCGTATTAGTTTTCTATTATCTTTGGCCTGTGCTAACTATTCGCACTTGACACATACTCCTACCAGCTACCATCTATCGCCGCCCAAAGTACATATTTTTAAAACTTTTCTCAAATGTTCGGTATCCTAACAGTAAAACCGAAAAATTACTATAAGAATATTAAAAATAGTAAAAACTCGACCTAAATGGCAATTTCTATTGGAAAATTTGGAGCCGTTTTTTAAAAAATAGCGTTTAAGCGTTACTGTTTGTACGAAATTTAAAACTCTTGTTCACAGAAAATATTTTAAGTTTTCAAAAATCTTTATTGGAAGTAATTTACAGCAACTTGACTCAGAAATGCAATAGTGTTTACAAATTGCTGGAAATGTGCTTATTAACAGCGTTAGAGATATTTCAAAAATACATTTATGTAATTTTTGAAAATAACAAGAATAATTTAAAATCAATTTTATGTCATATTAAACAGTGTATTTAGCACTATCTGTACGAAAAGTTTGGAGCTTTTCGGAAACTGAAAAGATTTCTGTGAAAAAGAACTTTAAATTTCACATTTTCAGTAACAATTACGTTGTATAGAGAATATTACGTAATGTTAAGTTAATTAAGGAAGATCGATTTCGGGATTTCAACGGTAATACACGTTTTGGGGTCCCTTGATGCCGACATTTTAAAAAAATCTCAAAAATTGCTGCAAATGTTTTCTTTTGTATTTTTGTAAAAAAGAATTGTGAAATATATTTATAAAGATGGCATAGGTCCGATTTCCACTAATAACTCTGAATTTTTGAAAATTGCAAGGCTGAAATTTTTTCGGTGCCTTATTGCAACTACAAAATTGAAGATAGAGATAATTCTTTCAACTGACTTTTTTCTTCATAATTAGTTCTTTCGTTTAGGTCAGGCACATTTTTTTTGAAAATTGTATTAGTTATCGCGCAATATTGCGTCCAATATGTGCAATATTAAAAAAAAATATCAAACGCATTTTCTCAAAAATGGCTTCGGAGTTTTTCCTTTAAACTTTAGCGATGGATAGTGTTAAATGTACTCTTATAAGATGACATAAACGCTATTTTGCTGCATTCTTTTGTTGTTGTTTTTTTTTTTTTTTTCAGAAACTAGTCTGATGTATTTTTTATTTGTCTCTCACATTGCTAATATTTATGTTACAGTCGATTTGTTCATATTATTGCATTTATAAGCACATGTGCTTTAAATGATGTCTGGAGATAGGATTTTATTGCACTATCAAATGCTAAAATATGCATGCAAGCATGCAAAAGCCGAACAAAATGTGTCAAAATTTTGCATAATCTCATTTGAGTTTAGTATATTTCCTGTTTTATTGATTTTGGAACAGTTTACAATTTTTCTCAATTCTTCTCTGAGAAATTCGTCGTTTTGACTGAAACAATAGTTTTTAAATGCAGAAAATACTTTCTACCACACAAGACGTCATTGGAGCATACGTCATAAAATAAATTTGAGCCAATGAGGGTCAAATTGTGTTTTTTCTGATTTTTTGCAACAAATAATGTTTTTTACGTTTTGGAAAAATTTCAAATCAGAATTTGAATTTAACACTTATACATATATGTATAAATTCTCCTTTGCTGTATATAATTCTCCTTTGCAGCAACACTCTTAACTACAAACACTAACTCCAGAGACATGTGAATGTCTTTAGAAACTTTTAATGACTCCATGATTAGTAAACCTGCTGCTTCTAATTTCTTAATTGCTATAGTAAATTTTACAAACTATTTACTTTTTATATATTAAGTTACTTTTTTAAAAAAATGGTTTTTAGATGTAGGCCTACTTAATTTTTTGCTCACAAGCGGTCAGAGTCTATTCTTGATTGTTTTCTCTCCCATTATCAGCTAGCAAATGATATTTAGTTACAGCTTTCTGTATCTTCATTATCTTTTGTTACTTAATCGTTTGGTGTTGATTCATTTTGCGATTGTGGCTCAGAGCAGGTGTTCCCGCTTCGCAAATCACATGCGTACTGAAATGTTGAAATATCTAGTACAACAATAAGCAAGTTTGTAAGCATTGCTTCATAAAAAACATCATTGAAATAGGATGCAAGGGACATATATTAACATTTATACTTTTTGTTTAAATAATGGAGATAAATAGATTCAAAACAGAGTCTCACAAGGATCCGTCAAAAGGGTCTCCCTATTTCTTATAACCATTAACTATATGATTTCAACCTTACTCAAACCATTCAAAATACGAGATTTTGCAGATGATATCACAGTTTTATGTTTTGGAAGAACAATATCAACGATTGAAGTTCCCCAAGATGGCTTAAACAAACTTGTAAGTTTCTGTAATACATCTGGATTCAAATTTTCGTCAACGAAATCAATGTACATGATATTGGCAAAAAATTATAGAACAATTCCTGAACCCAAACTCTTCTTACGAAATAAAAATCTACAATGCAAAGAAATGAAATCCTGGGTCTTTTTTTTGATACCAAATTGTCATGAAAACCATACGTAAGAAACCTAGTCATTCGGTGCAAGCAATGTATTAACACCCTGAAAGCTTTATGCTCCAAAAATTGGGGAGCTCACAAAGACATCCTAATAAATACATACAAATCATTTATTCAAGCAAAATTTGATTATGGATGTACAATATACAGTTCGACCAAAAGCTTTATCTTAACTTAATTAGATTCTATACAAACATATTCAATAAGATTAGCAATTGGAGCCTTCCGCTATAGCCCAAGATTGAGTATTCTAACAGGTCATGAATTATCATTAAAGTTACGAAGAGAACTTGTAACTCTTAAATATGCTTCATCAACTGTTTGTCGTAAAAGTAATCCTATGCACCATGAGCAAATATCAATATCAAATGATCTTCAACAGGCACTTCAATAACCTACCAAAACCTTTACTATATAGAATAAGTACTAATATGAAGAACGATTTGTCAGTTAAAGAGACTGTCACAATGCCACAATCCACTCAGTTCCACAATGGGAGGAACTCAAATATATAATTGATGACCACATTCTGAATGAAACGAATGACAAAGGCAACACTTCTAACAGTAAGTGTACAAAAGCTTATTCAGGAATTATCGCATAATTACATAAACTTCCCCTACATATACACTGATGGATCAGTGATAGATGGAAAAAAAGGTTGTGTCATCAACTTTGAAGACAACGAACATCTCTTCAAATTGCCACATTCGTTTTCAATATTTTTCTGTAAAGCCTACACTATACATAAAGCCATAGATCTAATCACCAATTCGGAACTAAACAGAAGTATAATTTTTACTGATTCCAAATCAACTTTGGATGCACTAAAGAACCATGGGAACAAAAATGCAAGAATATAAATAATATAAAAGAAAACTACATTTGATGGAACAAGTCAAAATAGTCTTGGCAAGGGTCCCAGTCATCAAGAGATATTAGGAAATGAAAAAGCAGGCTCAGCAGCCAAAAAAGGCATTTTCCAAGGAATCAATTGTACAAAAGAGCCAATTACCGCAGAACAAAAAAGGGCTATAAACCAATGCATCTGGCAAAAATGGAACATAATCTGGAAAAACTCAAAGTCAAAACTACATTTTGTCCATAACACAGTGTGGAAGCATCAACCATTCATCAAGAACAGGAAGATTCAATGTTTATTGACCATACTAAGAATATGTTACTCCAACTTGACACACTCTCATCTCATGTCAATAACACCAGTGAACAAATGCCCTAAATGTGTAACTGCAATCTCCATTTTCCACACATTAATAGAGTGTAATGGTTACCAAAGTGAAAGAACTGGATTGCCTGAAAACATCAAGAACTGTTTGGACGATATTGAAAGTGTGCACGATGTTATGAACTTTTTAAAACAAATTGGTGTGCTTAACTAAAGAAATAGTTGTAAATCATTTTTTTGAAGTTTGTAACAGTAAACTGTAACTAAAGTCGCTAATGACACAGCAGTCGATGCGACCATGAAAAAACAAACAAACAAAAACCAATAAGCAAAAGCAACACCGCACTGTCCAGATCTAAGAATAAAATGTCATTTATACAACATATATATATATATATATATATATATATATATATATATATATATCTATATCTATATCTATATATATATATATATATATATATATATAAATTAATAATAATAATTATTATTATAATTAATAATAAAAATTAAATGGACGAAGTTACAAGACTTGTTTTAGAAATTATCATTCACATAATTGAGTCAACTGACCTTCTGAGCAAAATGCAATTAACCATATTTCCATATTTATTTTTTACCATAGGAATGTTATTTATTATTTACCTTCTTTTGTCACAAGTTTATCTTACTACGTATTTCATGAATATTATTCAGCGAGTTTTTTGTTTCTGCAGAACTTTAAGTTATATTCATCTTCTCATATTCCGTTGATTAAATTCAAAAATAAAATAACAAATTAATAACTTCAGAAAGTAATTTTCAATTAAAATAATTCACGCATGACCTTGTTGAATGTTTACTTCATTGACGTGAACGAAAGTTTCTCTTTACCTGATTCTGTTTCACTCACACAATGTTTTAATCAATTATCACTTATTTCCATAATTTCTTTATGAAAATTAACTTATAAATAGGCAAGCCAAGCAGAAAATACTCAAAACAATGTAAATAATCATCTTCAACTTCGTTTTCAATAATCAAAATGGGAATAGGAACAACATGAAAATGCTACACAATAAACAAGGACGTGAATATAAAAGCATTCACTACAGCACAGATTATCTTGTATTTGAGCACTTAAATTTATAAACATGTACATTACAATTTACAAAATTTCTATCGCAAGCAAATACAAGCCTTCAGAACATTTCAGATGGACATTTTCCACTAGTTTTGTAACAAATTTATGCTTAAGAACAGAATTCACAGAGAGCATTCAACAGTTCAGTGAATAACAAGACCAAAAAGCCTCACATTGAATATACATCATACATCACAGTGTGCTAATAGTTGAAACCTGAATCCATTGAAGGTTTCCACTTTATACTGAACTTTTAAATGCAATTTTTCATGGACTTTAGTCACACAGAAACTTACATTCATAAGATTGCATTAATCAAATTATTTCCACTTGTAAACAGTCATCCAAATAGTCAGAATTAACTTCAAAATATGTCTGCACATCAAAACAAGAGTGATTCAGGCCTCAATTCTGTAGTAATCAACCAATGCTTGTTAATTTAAATATATTGTTCAATAAGATGTTTATCCTGAGTATTAAGGCATTCAGTAAAATTACAGCTTCTCATTGCCAGAGCAAAGTGGACACTGTAAACCTTACCATATAAAAAAAATTGTACTTATAACTACACAATATGTCCTCGTTTTGTATCAATCATCCCACCAAATAAATAATGGCCTTCTGTCATACATGTATCACAACTAAATTAACTGTACATATTTTTATGTTTGTAAATATATACAGATCTATTATTGAAGAGTAGTAGGCTACATGCACATTTGTTCTTACGAATGAGCGATACAATACTTTGGTAAATTGAATATCAGCTCCAAAATGCAAGCATGCAGATACTGTTACTTCAACTCTTGCACAATGCTTCTACTTGCAATGAATAATTATATACAGTGAAATATATATCTGCAATAATATATGAAAAAATAACTTATGAAAAGGAAACGGTATTTTTGCAGCTCGAGTTTTTGTTTTTTATTTTTTTTATTTTTTACAGGCACTATGTTTTAATGAGAAGTGTAAAGCAATGGACGACTCTGAAGCATTTTAAAGCTGGAACTTTCTTCTATTCAGTCTCAATCTCTACCTCAATGTTATACAGCCAATTATTTAGGGATACAAAATGACATAGACATCTTCAAATTCTCATCAATAATAAATTATATCACAAAGCATGAAGCCAGTAACAGGAATTATTTCAGAAAATTAAAAAATAGTTGAACAAATTACAATATAGTCTACAAAACACAATTACAAAACTTCAATCCCAAAAGGCAGTGAAAACTTTGCACAATGGCACTCATAATATTCAATCACGACACTTGCATTCACTTTGATTAAATTCTTTAAAAAAAAAAAAAAAAAAAAACAACATTTACAGTCACAGAAATCTATACAATAAAAGCAACTTACAAATTAATAAAGCAATGGAAAAATGTTTGACAAAATAGTGAATCAGCTACAAATTTTACAAAATAGAAAACCCATACATATGGATTGAAAACATTGGATTTATTGTAAGTAATGCTTCAAACAACTTACTGCACCACTTGCAAAAAATGAAACCAATTTTGTACAATGGCCACAAAAAAACATTAATTAAATCATTATTACTTAGAATAAATGCAACAAATAATTAAAATCATGGAGGCACACAAAATTCTTCTTAATCCGTTAGTTACATTTACACCAACTCTTTGAACACTATGATGGAGGATTTTCTCTCTTAGCTACAGATTCCTTAAGATCTTCCAACCTCTTTGCAGAATTACATTTGAAGCAAAATATAATCATGCTCATTTTATTGAACATTTTATCATTATTTAGAGGACAAGACTAGTAAGTGAATTCAAAATAGCCCATAGCAGCATGTCAAAAGTTACATAATTTTTAAGAGAAGCATCATGCAGAGTGAAATATTTGCACACAGTGCAACAATGCAGTAACAACATTAGACAACTGTATTCATGTCTTAACACACACATACACACACACACAACCAAAGCATCACATGCCTTGCTTCAATATTATTTCCATTTTGGAAAATCATAGGTGGAGTCCAAATTATTTGTTCTTTCCCATTACATGATAACTGTTTACAACAATTTATTGACTATAACCTTCCATTAACATTGATTACAATAAGAATCTCCAAAAATAACCTCTCATGCATGTGATGCACAGCATTCTCATTTCTTCCAAGTCATTAATAGACTAAACAAAACAAGAGTATGCTGATGTTTCTGAACTTTTCATATTTCACACAAAATGAGTACTATTCATAAATAATTCATACCCAAAAGAATACATAACATTGTCACTTCATTAAATTTGGTTTCAAAATCCACAGAAAATTTGTCCCTTTTACACACAAAAATAGTAGCCAATGCACGATAGAAATTTGATTGTAGAAAGTAGTGTCTGCCAATAGCATTGTATTCATAAATGTAGATATAAATATAACTATTTAATTATATATGGCAGACATAGCTTTATCAGGAATTTATTTTATTTCAGTAAATTTTTGTTTGGAATTCTTTATTATAGTTCTGCTCCATGAATTATCCATCACAGAAAAATGAATTCAATGTAATACTTTTGGCAGGTACTGATCTAGAAATTTATATCTACAGTTATGGCATATCACATCTTTGCAGCAAGTTAATCATAAGACACATATAAATGCCAATCCTGAAGACCATACAAAAATACAGAGCATAGTTTAAAGGCCACTTGTGGATACTTCCAAACACAAAATAACATACTATATTTATATATTATATAGTTATATGCCTTGTTCCCTATAATCAGTGAATCATTATGCCAACTCAGACATACTGAATGTACCCTCCATAAAATTTAAAATTTCAATCCACAATTTTTAATTTCCACAAAATTAGCTAATTGAATATTTACCATTTCTTATTAATTCCCTCAAGCTTACAGTATAACAAACTGTTTGCTGAAGACTGATTTGTTGGTGGCAGATAAAGGAATAATTTCAGCCCTAAGCACTACACCAGTTTATGTGAAAGAGGAGACAGGAAACAAGGCTGAAAATCCAAGCTCATTTCATTATTTTCTAGTTAAAATGTGAATTATCTTCATATTCTGTTTTGCCGCTGGCTAACATTCCAGTAATGTGTGCAAGTTAATATTGTCCATCGGCTAAAAGTAGTACATAGTTACACATACTTGAAATGCTTGTGCTTCTACTCATGCTGTATTATACTATCGCTACTACTTACTACTAGCACTTATTAATATTTAATTCCACTACACCAACACACTATAGTAAATGAATTTCAAAACTGATGCAATATACAGATGCTAGGGAAAGATGAAAAATGAAAAAATTAACTAATAGTTGTAGTATGCTGGCAACATTGTGTACTTATCACTGGCATATCTGCAACTTAAAATATCATAATTATCACAAAACTTGGGATTCACACAGTGAAAAACTAATAATTGCAAACAATGTCTTAATCACAAAAGTTCAACTTTACTGTCATTTATGCAGAAATACAAACTATTTAAATCAATAAAAATTGATAATAGATAAAAACATTACTATCAACATTATTTATAATTTCATCCACAGATAGTGTAGCACAAGAATGCTAATACACTTACAAATTCCTTGTCTTTTAATACTCAAATTTACTATACAACACACATCATCTTCAGCGATTGTAAAAACTTTTCACACCTTTGAATCAACTTACACAAGAAACATAAATAAAATTTCATTCAAACAAAAACAACTAAAAACAAACATGGCAATTGTAGATGTACTATCCCACTAGTGATCATAAAAGACTTCATTTAAAACATTAGCATAAACTCCCAACAAACATGAAAATAAATCTATTAGAGCTTGCAAATAAATCAATAACTCTCACTTACTCCAGTTCGTAAAGAAAATAGGGAAGCAAGAAAAAAGCTAAAAGAAAATTTTCTTAATCTCGTACCACTTGTCATGTTTACTAGATTTCCTCCAAAACAAAAATGGAGCACATAATTTTAGAATTCCAATTACATCATGTTATACAAAACATTGGACAATACAAGAAATAACATGATAAACTGCTACTGTTTATAGTTCAAACGCATTGTAAATGGCATAGATGGTATATGGATTATCTCTGCTAAAAAGCAGTGATGAAAACCTGCTCCTATAATAAGCAAGATTGAGATTTTTAAAGCTTGTATACCTTGAACAGTTACTTCAGCTCAAGTTTTTCACTCTATGTGTTGTTCTAATAGTTTCACTTGCAAATTTATACATGAAATTTACATTGCTTTTACAAAGTCTAAAATTCCCACAATTTTTGTTTTTATCCTCCATTACTCTTACACAATCTAACATTGCAAAACAAATGCAATATCAGAATTGAATTTAAATAAAATAAATTTGTTCAGTTCAGATAAATAAAAATTGTGATGCAAAATAATTAATACCTTTTTCTTTGTACCATTCAATCATAGCATCACAATTCATGTTAAAAATTTACACTACGAATGAAAGAATCACTCGTACTACAACAACTATTTTAGACTGGATGAAAAATAAATGATCAATAAAAATAACTTTTTTATTGTCATTTTCTTTCCAATTTAATTTGGAAAAGGTAAATATTATTGCACGAATAATTTGTGTATTCAGAATTGTCTCCACAATAGTCAATTCTTAGATGAAATAAAGAACACAAATAACAGATGGCAGAGGGTGTCTGAATTATTAATGTGTGCATTTATAATAATAAATCCCCATTTTTTTTTTCCCCCAAGAATATAGCTAATCATGATTCTACTAAATTTTCTCATATTGAATGGGACTGTGGTTTTCTACTACAATCTACTTTGCCTGTCCCAAATTATTAAGCAGTCTTTTTTTTTTAATTTAAATATTCAAAGAACTTTTTGTCAAGTTTTGGCACAATTTACAGTATTTCTAACTTAAAATTTCTTTCACTAAAAAAAAAAAAAAAAAAAAAAAAATACACAAAGAAATGCTATTACTTAAAATAATTAGAGCCAAGCATATTTAGCCTGAGCTTTTATATATAGATCCCCAATGTGTAATGACAAGTTTCCAAAGGAAACCAAAATTACTAAATGCATAAAAACCTACTGAATTTATAACAAAGTTATGGTATTTAGAACATACCTTTTAATGGAAATAACTTATACAGCACCAACATTTTTTCCAATATTTCATCATGTTGCATTCTATGTTTTTGAAGAAGAAACTAATAGCTTAGTTTAGAAGCAGTTCAGTTATTCCAAACTAAGTAAGATCTTTCATAATTTTTTTCTGCAGCATAATGCAAATGCTAAAACATCAACCATTTACAATGCCAAATTTTTCAGGAGGAAGGGGGTGGGGGAGGAAAGAGAGAGAAACAAACAGGGGGGAAAAATACCCATCACCTTTCAGAAATGAAAGCTGGCGACATATAATATTTCACAATTAGGTTTAAACATGCCATACACAATCATACAAATAAGAAATTTCTCAATCCAGTTCCCCCTATAGAAAGTAGAAATGAATTTTGAGTTTTTTTAGCAGTTGAAAATGCAGAAGCTAAGAAGTGAGACTTCTTCATTTTACAATCATTATAATGGATTTAATGGTGAGCAATGTATATACTCACGGGTATTTCAAGTTCAAACAATTAACACAACACACATGAAGTACAACAAACTCAAGTTTTAGCTTAAAAAGGTCACACATGTAGGAATTGAAATTGTCAAGAACATATTCTATTCTACAAAAGGAAGTGTCCCCAGTCCCTAATGTAGCAAATTATTGAGTATTAAGAATACGTCATTAATGGACAAATAATACACTGTAATACAAATATATACACATATTCATCACAAAAAACATAATTTTGCCTTCCAGCAAAATAAATGTGAATTATCTTGCATATTTGCATTTCAGTAATGGTGTAAGCCTTGAAGAACATTCACAGTTACGTACTCAGATGCTAAGAAAAATTTAATAACAATTGAGAGAGCAAGAGATAAACGCTTTACATTAATAACGACATAAAACTGGCAAAAATAAACAATAGTGGTAGAAGATTCAGTTAAGAGTGTAAATAAAAATAAAAGATTTCTCAATAAAAATTTCTGCAAGTAATAATAATGAAATTGGTAGAAAAAGAGAAATTATTGCACATATAAGAAAAATATGATTTCTGTTTGCAAACAAAAATTAAAAACCTCCATATATGCTCGAATCAGGTTGCCATGTCAGAATGTATCATCATTAAAATATTCAAATGCATTCATTCTTAGATCAACTAGTATTTTTGCATCTGAATAGGAATCTGCAAAAATTTTGCAGGAAGAATTCCCTAATAACATGTGCATACTGGTAATAAAAACTCTTTCATAGACGTCTTAATAAAAAGGTAGTTTGGATTGTAATTAGTAATTATGTATAAAAATAAATTAATTAATCAAAAAATAATAGATAAAAACTGCAGCAGAAGTTGTAAAAAGAAGTCATCTGTCAAGGTATTTTACAAAATTCTAGAAGAATATTTGTTGGCAACCTGATAGTTGAAGACAGTGCACAATATGTAATTTCAATCATTGCCTTGCAGTTACAAAGAACTAGTCGCACAATTCATTGCAAATACTTAATAAATTTGCACAAGGTTAAAATATTTGGTCCCTACTAAACACATACATTACTACATTTCTTTGACTGAAATTAATTTACACAAAAACTATTTTTCATAACTAACATCAACTGGAATAAAATATGAACACAGACACCATAGAGCACACCGGGCATCTGACATTTTTAACACTTTTACTTTCCAAGAATAAATGGCACCAATATAAATAATACATACTAGTGGGATACTACAGCTAACATCTCTCCACAGTAACATACATAAGCTTGTAAGAAATAAAACATTTGTGACAATAGGAACAGTTTGCCTTTTTGCTGTAAGAAAACTACAGCATAAAACCAGCTCATTACTACCATAGTGAAGTTTTTAAAAAGACATACTTTTTAGATAGGTAAAATAATACAGTTAACATTGTTTTGCACATTCACCCTATTGTTTAAAATTAGTTTACTTGTTAAGAATGTGAACCCGTGCTTTTTGATAAAAAGCACAAGATCACAAGTGCAACATCACAAATGATCACCTTCAACACCCCTTGTAACAATGACGTGTGTGTACTTCACATTTATTCATTTCACACTACTTCTTCAGAGATCATTAATTAAAATCAATACATTTCATTCATGACAACAAATCTCTCACCAATTACACACTTTTAAAACTTTGTATAGGTTCTGTTTTGAAACTTCAAAAAACAGAAGTGATTCATTGTAGATTATTTCCTCTGCAGCAAGTGTGCACATACTTGTACTTTAAATGTGTCAGTGCCAAAGATGACTGTATACGCACTAACATAAATAGCACTTATTACCCTATTGTGAATAATTCCATCCACACTTCCTTTTCCCATGATGTGCTTATAGTCTGTGATGGGAAAAGGGTTTTTGATTAAAAAATCAATTATTGGTGTTCATGAGCGCACATTTTTTAAAGAAAGCACTCCCTGCAACCCAGGTCCCAGAAGCACTTCACAATTTTTCTATTCTAGGTTACGACAATGACAAATTTCTTCTCTATATGATACTAAGACTGTAATTAAGTACCCATTTTTCCATTTTCTTCTTTGCTAGCTACATATTTGTAAAGTAGCACAGCAAAATAAGATCTTTGTTTGCATGTCATTTCATGGTATTAAATTGTCACTCACAGTTGCATAATTGTTGAAATCTAAATTCATATATTAATCATTCCCAATTTACGAAATATTGATGTAATATTCACAAGAATTCAACAGGTATTGTAACAGAAAGAACCACCCTAGAGAACCCAAGAAACAATTATTTCTCTTTCTGCATTATACATGGAGTTTTTGCAAGCGATGTTGGGATATGTTGGGAATCTTCTCGTGTCTTGTCAGCAATTCCCAGTGGGTTCATCATGCACCTTGAAGTCATTTATCTTCCAACAATTTGTTCTCTTCAAAATAATATTGCATCAAACAAGGTATTCTGTTTTATAATCAACAACCATTCTAGAATGTTTTAAAAATGTAGTTGCACGTTCTTGGTGTTTAAGATTTACAGATATTTCAGTGCCTGCAGAAAATTCTACAGGTCTGTGTATTACAAATCACATCTCCACGTTAGGAGGCATAAGTAGAAAATCCACTTTGACTACAAAGAGTCATTATTTCAAAATAAATTAAATTATACTGGATAAAGGTGTGAAACTTCTTGCAACATTACATTTCATTTCCTAAGTTAATGAAAAGCAAACTCAGGACTACTGAGAACTTCAAACCCTAGATGCAGTACAATAAGGAGGGCAGAGTAATTCCTGCCTCACGACACTGATGAAATAGCATTCAGAGGAGATCCCATTTGGGTAAGAACTTTATCAAGCCAATGAAGAGGGCCATTCAAATGAATTTCAACCCAGCACGGTGTGCTGGTGACATCCTGCCTGTGGTATTCAGCACCCCAACCCTTCACAAACGACATTCTGCAATAAAGAGAAACAATCACTACCACAACTAAAAAAAATTATTATAAATAACACATTTTAAGAATGAGAAGTCGACTCACCGTATTGTACACATTTTTGTTAATTCATAGACAGCTTCAAATCCATGATTTACACTCTGTGAAAGGAGTTGGGCAAATTCTTGATTGTTAAAAATCTTCAGTGAACATCCTGGAGGTATCTTGCAAACTGTGCTCGGATGAAATCCATGATGATGATTACAGTTTCGAGACTGAACAAAAATAGCACTGTCCGACTTGTTTTGAGCATACACTTCACCACCAATATACACAAGTTGTACACCTGTAATAACAAGTGTGTTATAAAACCAAGCACACAAACAATGTATAGAATTGATTAACACAAGGTAGCACACACAAAATATTCTAAGCAAAATAAATTAAATAATAATAAAAAAATCATTCAAAAACCCTAAAAGAATTAAATAATGGGGAAGTTATGAGGAAATACAGTGCTTGCATTCCTGATAGAGCTCACATTTGTTTATCTCCATTTAGCACTAATAGCATGAAGGGACACATGAACTAGGATATCTTAGTATTGTGCAAAGAGAAACCTGCTATATAACTTTGCCCTGTCAACAAAGATTCAAATATCTTTTGACATCAAACTTCAAACATCATTTAGTGAAAATGCTAATACAGTATTTTAAAGAGTAGGAAGAAAAGATGCAAATAATTTTATTAACTATCATTTACCATTTAAAATTTCGTACATTACTGTCGCAATGTATTACATAATGCATTTTATACCTCTTATTTAAAACTAGCTTTTTTGCAGAGACTAAAAACATTTCTTATTCTAGTGTTAAGGCCACTTAAACTTATAAAATGAAGCAAAAACACAAAATTTGTAAACTTGTTAAATTGTGAACCATTCTAGAGGATAAAATGGTAAATAGAAGAACTGGCAGTGAAGTTTTTTTTAATCAACAACCATGTAGTTTCAGGAGTTAAAAGCACAATACTAATTTCCATAAAATGGGCCAAATTGCTGAACACAAGACAATCAAAGTTCTAGACATTGTCATTAATAGGAAATTACGAATGAATAAACAAATAGAATAATTTAAGATAATAATAGAAGAATTAATAACTTGTTTTCCTTTCTGTAAATGTCACAATTGCAAAATGGGTGGTGGTCGTGGCAGCGATAATCATAGGGATGGTAGAGGTAGTGGTGGCGGTCGTCGTGGTGGCGGTGGTCGGGGCGGCGGCGGCGGTCGGGGCGGCGGCGGTCGTGGTGGTAATAATAGTAGTAGTCAGTACCTCCTAAATCAACACTTGGTGAAGTGAAATATTTTTATTTCAAAAACTTAATTGAGCAGCATATAATGCAAGCTGTTATCAAAACAAAATGTGAAAGTAGTAGCAAGATCTCATCCCTAAGATGAAACAATGCAGGTGACACATACAAATATGTAATATGAACAATTGAAATTAACGTCATTAATTTCTAGAAAATGCTGATCAGAAATAAGTCTGGATGAGCTCTGTTTCTCTATATTATTTCAGAATGAACATTATAATTATTTGAAAAATTGTCCGCTGTTTAAATCTTGCCAGGAAAAGGTTTTCATTTCTTGAAATGTTTGAATTTATTTTTACCAGAATGATTTACCAATTGCTCAATTTCCACATGTTACAAGGAAAATTGTAATTTAAATTGCTAGCCTAGCCACCTTTCTGCAATTCGAAAGTGGTCGTAACTCATTTTGAGAGGGTCGGTTACTAGAGAATTTAGCAGCTCTTGTCTGAATTTTGTCTAGGTTGTGAATTTGGCTTAGTCTGAAGGGATCACATGGCCCCATATTCTAAGATAGGGCATACATGGGAAGTGTATGGTAGCATCTTAACGTTGCAATTGGCAGTCTTCAAAGCCTGCATTATAAAATGTAGGGCTCTCCAGGATTTTTATATCAATGGTTGTACTGAAATAACAAGTTTTAATCTTAACAGTAAAATGAAGTAAAAGTAGTTTTATTAATAAACACACGTATGAATGGTGTTCAAAGAAACATTGCTAGCCATCATTGTCACAGTATGGGCTTACGAGATTCTGATTTGACTAAGTGGCAGATGTAGGGGAATCGAGGCAGAAGATATTCCCCCATCTCTCACACTACCCTCCATACTAAGCAGCACAGAACAATCTAAATGAAACTGTAACCCAGTGCCAAGTGACAGTAAGATTCAAGTTTCTCGCTACATGATGGTAAATATCTGAGAAAAAAGGAAGTGAGCAAAACTTCGGGAGAAGTTACTTTGCGATTAACAGTTAAGCAGCGTTTTCAAGTTTTCATAACCATGTCAAGTGCTAAGCCAATTCTGGATGGGATATCACTGTCTTCGCCAAACTGAGTTGCCCATGAAATGTGAACCTCACCAGCTGCATGCTTTAATGAAGGAATGATTGTGAAATAAGACATCAAAACCTGTGACATAAGACTCGTCCGGCTGACAATAACATTCTCAACACTTGTATGCCCGTGTAATACAAGTGATAGTACTACTGAAAGAGTACCTCAAATCTGGTAGCATGTGAAAATCAAATTAAGCCACTGTGTGGTGACAGAAGCAATATTGTTAATTACCGTCTGATTTCAATATTAAGTACTATACCAAAAGTTTTCAAATCCATTGTTTCAGATAAATTAAAATCGTTAATCTGTCCTTTTCACCCCGAAAGACAATTTGGTTTAATAAGCAAAAGAAGTATTAATGCAAACTTTGTATACTATACTCAATACATCTTGGAGTCACTCGAAAAGAATTGACAAATTAATAGCATCTACACAGATTTTAGCAAGGCCTATGATTCAGTGAATGTTACTGTTACAGAAACTTAAGTCTTTTAGAATAACTGACAAGTTACTGGATTGGTTCTTTGATGAATGATGGATAGAAAGCAATGTGTGAATTGCAGGGACTCTTAGCAGGTCAAGTGATGTTCTTTGTTTACAAAAAGCCCTTGACAAGTTAACTGTGTTGTGTTCAAACAATTATCCTAATTTAAATACTGATAAGTTTAAGTGTATTACTTTCACTAGATCAAGGTCAAGTATACTGTTTAACTGTGAAATTAACTATTACAATAGGGCAAGTCTTAAACATTCAAGATCTTGGGAGTTATTTTTGACTTGCAAATGTCACATTCTGAGCACACTGAGTTCATTGTAAAAAAAATCAAACCAAATACTGGATTTTATTTAAAGAACTTGTGTTGGCTTTAATTCTTTTCTTACTTTGAAAACTTTGTAAACCACGATTGTGAGACCTAGTCTTATGTTTGCTTCTGTAGTTTGGTCTCCTGGCAATGAGGTTCACATTCGCAAACTTGAAACAGTTCAACACAGGTTCCTTAGGATGCCATCTAGACATCTAGGATTGCCAAATCTGTTCATTGATTATAATTACTATGATACAGCAACTGCTTTAAACATTCCATCTCTTGCGTCTCTCAGAAATTATAATGATTTGATGTTTTTGACCAAGCTCATCAATTCACATATTGAATGTATATTATTATTAACTCAGATTCAGTATAAAGTTCCTCAGACTACACAGTTCCACAGACACTGTTCCTACAGAAACAGAGATCCATTTCGTGCTACTACGTACAATTGTGTTTATACTGAGAACAATCCATTCAATAGAATGCATAAATTATGGAATTCATGTTAAGGGCAACGATCCATGATCTAACATTGACAACAAACATAATAAGACCACCAGATGTTGCCAGAGTGCTATCCAGGCCCCAGGACTATCCATTGGAACAACAACCATTGCCACAACAACAAACTCTTGACAACACGCAAGTGGCCCGCGCCACAAGCTGATCCCTCGCAATTTTCACGGCCAAACGCACCGCAACAAACACTGCACGCAGTGCATGCCCCCCTGATGCTTTCCTTGCCCTGATACCAAATAACCGATGAGGGACGATTGAAATGGCAAACTATATGCACATTAGCCATGGTCCTGCATATGAGAACAGAGGTTAATTATTTATGTCTTGGTCTGAAGTCCAGTTTGAATAAAAATAAATAATCCTAATTAAAGGAGATATTGCTTTCACAAGAATTAGGTATTTAACATTCACTTCAATACACATGATGCAAAAAACCATTACTTCCCAAAACAAAATGGTTTACACTTGACAGAAGTGATAAAACATACTTCATATTAATTAAATTACATATAATTTAATAATCATCAGATCTAGTTGGAGATAACAAGGAAAGATTATTCATATTTATTCATGATCCGTATGATTAAAGAGTGTAACTGTGAAATATTCATATTACACGGGTCTATTACATTCTTGTTATGGAATTGTTTTTAGTATAACGTGTCCTATAAAATTTTTAATGTTTAAGGTTTGCTTGTGTCTGCAGATTCTAGAAGGAACATTGAACTTCAATTTATTGATCAGCTCAGGACAATCCAAATAGTAGTTACAGGGTTTGTACAATAATTTAATGTCACTCCTTTCCTCACAGAAGTAGGTTAAGGTATTTGCAGTCTTGAGGCGATACGTTCATGTTTGTGATCGACAAAGGAATCGGAAATTCTATAGTTTGCTCTAAAAAAAGTATGCTAAACTGATTCCAGCCTTTCTATGTTGTGTTGAAATAATGGTACCAAATCAGCAATCCTAAATTAAAATAGGAAGAACAAGGAGATAATACAAGGCTTTTAAGAACCTCAACTGAACTCATTGCATGTTCTTCTGATAAAGCCTAGTTGCTGCTAATATGACACAATTACATTTTACAGAGCACTTACAACAAAATAAACTTTTACACAATTATTACAAACAACTACTGTACATCATTTGTGAATGTAATAACGCTTCTAATGAGACTATTTCTTACAACTATGAAAACGCCATCTCCCCTACGATAGGATGGCTTATTTTATTATTTCTGTCTTGTCTATATATGTTAAAATCTTTCCATAATACAATCCACTAATATATCTGCATAACATAACCCAATAGAGGAATGAAAAGGTAATCTTAATAGCCACAGGCAATAAAGAAATTAAAGGCCACCGGCTGTTAAGGAGCCATGTGATCTTCGAACTATTTAATAAAGTTTGAAAACGGATGAGAAACCACACTAGTAACATACACACACAACCTAAATTACACCTACAAAAGTAATTTTCAACTGTATAAATAGTAAATACATTCAATTTTTTGTTTTTGTGCAATTTAGTGGTTTCTATAGTCAAAGACACAAGTCCATTTCGTCTCTAAGTGGGACAAGGGGACAA